CACTTGTACAACCATGTTTGTTGCTGCTCTTTTCACAGTAGCTAAGAGATGGAAGCAACCTAAGTGACCCTCAACTGACAAGTGCTTAACAAAAATGTGGTATATTTACACAATGGAGTTCTATTCAGCAGTAAAGAAAGTAAAGTAAAAAATTTGCAGGTAAATGAATGGATCTAGAAACTGTTGTACTAAGTGAAGTAACACAGACTTAGAAAAACAAAAGACGTATATTCTCATTTGTGGATCCTAGCACCATATCCTTTTATATTCCATATTCTTTTTAGTGAGATGATGCTGTACAGCAGTCTCTTATGTGTGAAATAACTACCATCATCATGACTTCAGCTGTGCCTGCTTGCTGAACATTGTCACAACTGGGCTTGTTGATGGTTGTGCTCCTTCATTAAAGGAGGGGCAAGTAGGTTCAGTGGACCCTCACTGGAGTATCCAGCCATGCTTCCCAGTGAACTGTATGTAATTTTGACCCTAATCACACATGGTCTTCTGGATTTGGGGAGGAGTAAAGTATATAATATGGGGAAGGCCTGGAAAAGAAGGCTTGATCTATGCTGGTTAAAGTCTTTCCAGTGTGCATAAAGTTTTCCCCAGGTCACTCATACACTTCAGCAACCCTTCAGTCATCTCTGTAAGTAAATAACTCAGTAAATTCATTGGTTCCCCAGGAAAACTTTAGTCAAACATTGGTTTGACACTAGAGCCTTTACAGGGAATAGGCATTGCTTAGCATCCCCAGGAAAAGAATTCTCACAACAGATGGAAATGTTATTTGTTAATGTTACTCTTTCATAATTATTAAAAAGGAAAATGAGAATGTTAAAAGATGTTAAAAGAATATGGGAATGGAGATATTTTCCAAAATAGAAAAATGATGAAAGCCTAAGCAAGACATTAAGGTCTGTGTAGGTTTGTTATGATATATAAAGGATGAGACAAAAATAATGTACACATAATCTTAAAATTTCTAAGATCATAGTTTAGTCAACTAGTTTAAGGAACAAAATACATGTCTAATCAAGGATTATCTGAGAATGTTTGGTCTTTGCCCAAACTTTATCTACATAGCACATGGCAATTAAAAGTACTAGACTGGTGGGACTAACCTTGGATATTTGACAGCCATACCTTAAGGCCTGTACTAATCTGGTCAGAGGGACTTAAAGGATAGACAGTTATTGCTCCTTTCCCTCCAAGGTCGACTAAGTTCCTGGGGACTACGGAGCATCTCTCAAAATGTCCTGTAACTGTGGTGAGTCACCTGTCCTGTTCAGGGAGGCCATGGAGACCTCACCAGATGGACTTGAACCAGTGTCCAGTCTACAAAGAAGAAGGTCACCTCAGAACATTTCCTCCATGCTTCCAAGTAAAACCAGCCACAGTTGAGCAGGACCTTTGACTTATCTTCACATAGATGGAACTGGTGAAAGGAGCCAGGGGCTCCTCCCGAGCTCATGTGACCTGAGGAACAGATCCTCCAATGACCTGAAGAGTAAAAATAAATTGGTTTATTTGGGCCAACTGTATGGTCTTAAATACCTGAAAGGAAAGTATAACCAAAGATTAAAGTGATCAGTATATTTCTTTAAGAGTTCAAGGGATTACACTTCCCAGACATTAGGCTTAAGTCCATATAAAATGTTATTTAGACAATTATTTCTCATTGATTTTGTTTCTAAGCAGAAAGTACTTCTCATATGTAAGACTTCAGATCTTGGTCTGCAATACTGAAGTGCCCACCTGTAGCTAAGGGAGATAACCCACTATTGTTCTAAAATGATGGGCAAATTTTTTTTCTTCCTGTATCTAGAAGCCTTTGAGAGGGGACTGACACTGATTCTAGTCACTCCAACAGCTATCAAAATTATAACTTTTTAAAGAGACTAAAAATACTATTTTGGAGAACATAAATTTGTGCCCCTCATGCCCAAGTTTCTATCTTTCACACTAGCTTCAGGTTGTGGAGAGGCCATGGACTTGCTGTTCCTACAAATCTTTTTTTTTTTTTTTTTTTTTTTTTTTTTTTTTTTAAAAAAAAGCCCCAGCTTGCCTGGAACTTGCTGTGTAGATCAGTTGGCTTTGATCTCACAGAGATCTGATACCCACCTCTGCTTCCTGAGTGCTGGGATTAAGGGGGCGGGGGACACCACACTTGGCTTATTTCTACGAATCTTTGAAAGACCATCTTGGGCAACAACAAACTGCCAAATTACTATACCAGGACAAAAAGAGAGAAAATTAACCCAGCTTACAGGCTGGATGTGGTGATTCATGCCTATAATCCTAATACTTTGGGGGATGAGTCAGGAAGATCATTAGTTCAAGGCTGTCCTGGCTTCCTAGTGAGTTTCAGACCACCTTGGCTCTGTAAAAACAATTCTTCCTTAGTAATAACTATTACGACAGCATGTCAAGTACCCATTAAGTATTTTATTGAAGGTCTCAAGTTGGAAAAATCTTTACCGGGGAGTTCTTTTAGATAGTTGAACAAAAGAGTGTTGTAAGATTAAGGAAAGATTGTAAACTTGGGGATGAGACCATTTGAGGTCCTAGGAACCCATGCCACAACTGGGGACTTTGGAGCACAGGCTGGAACTGATGCAGAGTAATGTCAGGGAACTGGCTGGGTTTTAGGTGCAGGCTCAGAAGCAGGGAAGATCAAGTGAGAACTGAACTTACCTATGAGCATCTAAAGAGCAAAGATCTGGCCATGCAGCTATTGGCCATACTTTGTAGGTGATTTGGCAGAGTTGTTAGCAAGGTCTTCATGCAGTTGGTAATGAAACCCCTGGGACTTTTCTTGGTTTAAAACATTTTAATGTTCCTCTCTGCATATAAAAGCACATGGATCTAGTTTTTGTTTGAGATTCTTTGCTCCCATGTGTTCAACAAAAAGTCATGCTTTAAACCATGTGGTTATGCTTACTTTCCACCAGAGCCCGAACTCAAGCTTCTCAAGTGCCAATTTCTGGAGGAAAGTGGAACAATCCCTGATGGCTGAGCCACAGATGTGGCTGGCAGCTGCCTGAGATGGGACTGTGATGTGTCCTTTCATACCTTCTGTTAAAGAAAGCATTTTTACACAGATTCCACCGAGGGCTAAAAGGAGATGCCTCCCAGAACTGGGAGAATAGTGTTATTCCTTCCATATGGCATGAACATTTATACTTTACCTAACTCTGAAAGACCCAGCAGACATTCTCAGTGTAATTGAGTGCTATTAAAGCAAGAAATGAATGTCAAACTGTGAGTTAAATTAGGCACGAAGTGTCAACAAGAAAGCTCACTGGGTATTTATGAAGAATTTCAGAGTGGGACTGAAAAACAGAAAATGCCAGGATCCGGCCATAGTGAGACACTCTGGCTTTTGGTCATCTATGCAGCCTTACGTGACTGTCATTACCAAAACTGGTGATTTTTTTTTTTTTTTTTTTTTTCAGGAGACTACGTTTACTATTTCATAAAGTGAAACAGCCTGGTGAGAGTCATATGGAAAGATTGGAAGATAGCCAGGTTTAGAGAGTACTGAACATCTTTTGTTGCTGTTAACTAGAAAAATATGGAGAACACAGTAGTGTCTGTAATCTATTTTAACTACCACCTTAAAATTAAATGTTTCTTTTTCAATTATCTCTTAGGACCTACTGAAAAAAAGAATAATTCTGCTAGTGAAATGCTAACTTCTTTTCATTTAGAAATAGCTCCATGATGTTTTGATTTTACACTGAAAGACACATTCTCTCCTTTCCTTTCCCAAGTACCACCTCATCACTTTTTCTGTCATCCTGCGAGCTACACTGATGAGTGATCCCATATCTAGTATTCAGAGATTCCACTTGCTTGGTGCAGCTTGTTCCAGAGATGATTTGTGACAGAAATTGGGAAAGAGAGACACAAAGTCAGGTCTCAAGTGCTGAAACTGTCTAAGAGCTGCTGACTGGTGAGTGGCCAAGTGGAAGAAAGGGCTCCTGTGTAGTGCATCCACAGAGCTCACTCAAGGCACTCACCTTTCGCTATTTGTTTTCTTTCTCTTCAGTTTCTTTACCTCCACAGTGAGAATAGTGTGAGCTTTCATGGAGTTGTGTGATGTGCTCTGGGAATTTTATTTTAAGAACACTGTCCTTTAAAGTAAATACAGTTACAGTTAAAGTTATGATACGCCCAATGCATTGATCATATTCAAGAAAATCTTAGGGTCTTGGTACTTTAGGAAGAACTGCCATTGAAACTAGGTCTCCAAGAAGTCCTGTGGGATAATAGCTGCTACTTTTCATTGCATTCTTCCTGGATTTTCCTGTGGTTTTATTGATCCTTGCTCTGACCAGTAGACACGGTGCTTTAGCCACAAGCGGTCATCTTCATTTAATTCTCTGGGAAAGGACAGTATTTGTGTATTGGTGATCACGAATATGAGACAGTTCTTTATTAGCTGAAAGGAAAAATAATGGTTAATTTGGAAAGAGATGAGTACCTTGGACCCAGTATAGTCCCTGAGTGGCTGCTGGCCAGTGTTTTGTACTGGTGGCCCTAGTGAGTTACAGAAAGCCAGGTCTTTCAGGCAAGGCGTACTGAAGGATTTCTCACCTCTTCAATTACTTTCTAATTTTTAAAAATTACATTGATTTGAGCTTGGCATGGTGGCACATGCCTTTATTCCCAGCACTAGGGAGGCAGAGGCAGGCAGATTTCTGTGAGTTCAAGGCCAGCCTGGTCTACAAAGCGAGTTCCAAGCCAGCTGGGACTAGAGAGAGACCCTGTCTCAAAAAGACCAAAAAAAAATTTATATTGATTTATAGTCCGTGTGTGTGTGTGTAGTCACATGCCATGCCACATGTGAAGGTCAGAGGACAACTTGGGAAAATCAGTTCTTATCTTCCACTATGTGGGTACCAGGGATTAAACTCAGTTCATCAGGCTTGGTGGCAAGCATCTTTTCCCACTGAACCTTCCCACCAGCCCTCCTCAGCCACTTCTAAAGAATGCCCTTCCCCAAACAGATGACCACTGTATTAAAAATTGTTACATGCAAGTGTATATGTTACTTAGCAGATGTTGAGATTTTCACATTCAATAACCCATCATTAACCATGTGTGGCTGGTAGTTGAGGGTAGAGGAATGAGGAAGACCAAGTTTCTGCACTTGCTCCTCCATTGCCAAAATGTATTTGGGTATGTTTAGTCTTTAGACAAGTCAGAGTCTCCATTTTACCTTTTGACCTTTTTTAAAGCTTTTGGCATCTTTTACTGACAACTGTTTCAACCTTTCAGAGCCTATATATTCCTTAACCTCATAAAAACAGGACTTCAGCTAAAGCTTCTTTATTAAAATACTAAAACTCCTTGGCAGCCTCCTAATTACTCTTATCTGATAAGCCTAGTGGTATTTTCCAATCCCAGTTTCCTCTCTCTGTCGCACTGATGCAGCCTTTTCTCTGCCCACCTCCATTGTTCTCCCCCCTTCAGCTTTGTTGCCAACCACCTTTCTGTGACTCTTTCCTGCTGCTCTGTCTTCAGCTAGTATCTGGCAATAAAATAACCAAATTGATTTTAGTCTTGAGACCTCAACACATTTCTTTAGCTCTACCTGGTACATAAAAAAAACGGGGAGGGGGGGTTGGCTGGAGAGATGGTTCAGTGGTTAAGAGCACTGACTGCTCTTGCAGGGACCCGGGTTCGATTCCCAGCACCCACATGGCAGCTACAAACTGTCTTTAACTCCAGTTCCAGGGGAATCCGAAGCCCTCTTTTGACCTCTGCGGCATTGCACAACATGAGTGCACTCATATATATGCAGGCAATACACTCATACACATAAAAATAATAAAAGATTAAAAATAACACATTTTTTTCTTGACAGTTTGCTAACATCACTTACTGGTCCTGTTTTTTATCTCAAAAGTTTTATTTTCAGGGGCTGGAGAGATGGCTCAGTGGTTAGGGGCACTAGCTGCTCTTACAGAGGACCTGGGTTTGATTCCCAGCACCCACATGGTGGCTAACAACTGTCTGTAACCCCAGTTCCAGGGGATCCCACACCCTCTTCTGACCTCTGTGGGCATTGCATGACACAGGTGCACTTACATACATGCAGGCAATACACTCATATGCTCAAAATAAAACTAAAATATTTTAAAATTGTTTAAAAATTGTCAAAATAAGTTTTATTTTTAGAATTACAGTTAATCCAATCAAGCCAAAGACCCGGAGCTTCTAATGCCATGTTATGGAATTGACCTTGATAGCATTCTCCTTGGTGTCTTCATCAAGCCTTGTCATTGAATGTTTACCATATAGCCAGGAAGTACTTTATCCCTGATCTGGATTCTTCTATGATTCTATGAATACTTGTCATCTTATTCAGGGAAGGCTCCAAATGCGCAGATGAAGACAAACCCTTGGATATGTAAGCCTCAAGTTTTAATAGCCAATATTTATTCAGCAGTTACTATGTGCCAGATATACTTTGAAGTCCCTTTGCGTGTATTCATCTTGTCTCCTTATGTTGTAAACTGGTCACTATTATCATTGATTTATAGGTGAGCAACTGAGGCAGAGATATGCGAAAATAAAGCAATTTTCCCCAGAACCATAGAAATGGATGGATTCGGAATTTGATCTCAGGCAGCCTGACTTTAGAGTCTGCACTTTCAGCCACTGGGTTACATCACTTTCACACAGATGATTTGCTCTTTCAAAGAGACTTCTTTGAGATGGTGATGGCTTAGATGATGAATGCATTGAAATATGAGTAATTTTTTCCCTTAATTCTGAGCCAAAAGCTAACTGCATAAAAGGTGCTTTGGATGAGAGACTAAGATCCACACTGTAGAGCTGAAAATGGATGACCTGAATAATGAGGTTGAAGGAAGAGAGCTGTAAGAATAAAGAACTCGAACAGAGAGAACAAGAAGTAGCTCAGCAATCTGCAATGAGTCATCCATCCAGGGACTGAGCTGTCACTGTTAGGCACCCTGTGGAGAGCAAGAGAAGTAAAATAATTTCCCACTTTTCCTAAAAGAGTTTGAAATTGGGCCATCATTTAATTCCAGAGTCTATTAAGGATGGGCAGAGAGAAATTAGGCAGATGGCTTTAAAAACACCAGAGTTTGCTATGGAAAATTCTGCACGCAATGAGGGTTTTTTTTACTCTGTTGGGCCATACATGAAGAATACAGTTTCTTTGGTTCAGGGTGGATCTTTACGTGAAGGAATCACCATCATTAAGAACAATTAATCCTTTCATATTAAAAGATAAAACCACTCAAAGCTTTTGCAAACATTTTTTCCTTACTTGTAAATTTCCCACAGTTGCCTTTCAACTTAGTGGTAAGTTTATTTGCCTGGGTCAAATCCCCTTAGTAGACAGAATACTTAGTGGGTCAGCTGAGAAGGCTAGCTCTGGAGCCAGACTCCCAGGATTCACATCTTGTCTACTACTTTCCAGGTGAGTCACCTAGGGTGGTTTACGTAATATATTCTAAGACCACCTTAACAACACCTGTTAACAACATAAATACTTCTTGGGACATATAAGCCAGTAGGGGATACTAATAACTGAATAGTTATTCAAAATGGCCACTGTTAAGAACATGTCTGTAGCACCTCACTTCCCAACCAGTCCTGTAGCTGTGCCCTGCTATTATTATATATGATTTAGGGATCAGGAAGCTGATGATTAAGTATGAGAAGCCATTGTTACAGACTTGCAACTCCCAACACTGTTTGATTTGACCTGTATTGTGAGTTTAACAACTTCACTCTGCTGACTCAAGTTACTTTGCTTTTTCCAAAGAACTTTAAAATATACATATAAAGTTCAGTGAAAGATGCCTAGCCATGCTATGCATTTGCACTACTTTGTTTCACAGCGTAAGTTGGCTAAAGGTCAGAACCTGATCAATCAGCTTCACTTATTTGTATCTAACTCCATATAAACTCTTGAGTATTCAATAGATACACTTTTTAGAAAAGCGATTATATTAAGCTGTGTGTGCGCCGAATATTCATCACAGATGACTATGATGCCCAAATACCTTAATTTTGTCAAGGGTGTTGTTGACTTGGATGATCTCCCCCTGAATGTTGCCTGTGAGACTCTTCAGCAACATAAATTGCTTAAGGTGATTAGGAAGAAGCTTGTCTGTAAAACCTAGACATGATCAAGAAGATCGCTGATGAAAAGTACAATGATACTTTCTGGAAAGAATTTGGCATCAACATCAAGCTCGGTGTAATTGAAGACCCCTCAGATAGAACTCGGCTTGCTAAACTTCTTAGGTTCCAGTCTTCTCTTCATACAGCTGACATTACTAGTTTAGATCAGTATGTGGAAAGAATGAAGGAAAAGCAGGACAAAATCTACTTCACGGCAGGGTCCAGCAGAAAAGAGGCCAAATCGTCTCCATTTGTTAAGCAACTTCTGAGAAAGGGCTACAAAGTTATTTGCCTAACAGAACCTGTGGATGAATACTGCATTCAGGCCCTTCCTGAGTGATGGGAAGAGGTTCCAGAATGTTGTCAAGGAAGGAGTGAAGTTTGATGAAAGTGAGAAAACTAAGGAAAGTCATGAAGCAACTGAGAAGGAATTTGAGCCTCTGCTCAACTGGATGAAAGATAAAGCCCTTAAGGACAAGATTGAAAAGGCTGTGGTGTCACAGCGCCTTACAGAGTCTCCCTGTGCTCTTGTGGCCAGCCAGTACGGATGGAGTGGCAATATGGAGAGGATCATGAAGGCACAAGCATACCAAACGGGCAAGGACATCTCTACAAATTACTATGCCAGTCAGAAGAAAACATTTGAAATTAATCCCAGACACCCACTGATGAAACACATGCTTCGACGGATTAAGGAAGATGAAGATGACAGAGGAGTCTCGGATCTTGCTGTAGTTTTGTTTGAAACAGCAACTCTTCGGTCAGGAGAACTTCTACCAGACACCAAAGCATATGGAGATAGACTAGAAAGAATGCTTCGCCTCAGTTTCAACATTGACCCTGAAGCACAGGTGGAAGAAGAACCGGAAGAAGAGCCTGAAGACACAGCAGAAGACACAGCTGATGACACAGAGCAAGATGAAGAAAAGGAGATGGATGCAGGAACAGATGAAGATCGAGAAACAGCAAAGGAATCTACAGCAGAAAAAGATGAATTTTATTACACTCTCACCATGGATCCTGTGTGGAGAAGGAATGTGAAATTTTTAAGTCCTTTTTTCTTTCTTTTTTTTTTTTTTTGAGAGTTGTTTTGGATGCTTTCCCAAAACCTCCTTCTCCCCTGCACTGTAAAATGTTGGAATTGTAGGTCACAGGAAGAATTGGGTTTTTAGTTGAATTTTTTTAAACATTCCTCATGAATGTAAATTTGTACTATTTAACTGACTATTGGTGTAAAATCTTGTCATGTGTATAAAAAAGATCCCAAATTGAAAAAAAAATGACTGCATTTGACACTTGGTTATTTTATAGTGCAATTTGTTCTTGATCAAGGTGATGATATTTTGGAAGATGGATGGTGCTACTAGAAGAAGTTTTGGCTATCACAACTTCCACCTTAGTGGCTGTAAAATGTCCATGACAATGCTTGATGAAGTGCTTGGGTATATTTCTGGAAAATATAAGACTGAGACCTTTCCAGACATTCTGGAAGCAGAGGTAGAGGCAGGCAGATCTCTGTGAGATCAAGGCCAGCCTGGTCTACATAGTGAATTCTAGGCCAGCTGAGGCTAAAGGAGACCCTGTTGCAAACAAAGCAAAAGACCCAAACCTTGGCCAGATGTGGCGGTGCATGCCTTTAATTCTAGCACTCAGGAGGCAGAGGCAGGCAGATCTCTGTGAGTCCAAGGCCAGCCTGGTCTACATAGTGAGTTCTAGGCCAGCTGCGGCTACAAGGAGACCCTGTCTCAAAAAGAGCAAAAAAAAAACAAGCAAACAAAGAAAACACAAACCTGCACTCCAAGAGCTACTTCTCAGGGCAACTGACATAGACTGAAGCATCAGAATGTTAGAGAATTTTCTTTCTTCCTTTGTGAGAAAAATTGATGTTCTCTACATAGTAATTAAATTTCCATGCACCATTACCTCCCAAGGCTTGAAGCATAGAGATTAATGTTGAATGATGACAATACCTCAGCATGCTTTCATCACATTCTAAAGTGGCTCTCTTCTCTGGCGGTCTAGGATATATGAGGTAGGCAAGCAGGTTTTCTGTTTTAAAATGTAGGACTCCCAGGTTCTGTGAACACACCACTTAATCTAGCCATGTCTCTCTTTACAGGAGCAAAATAGGAATGCCAGTAGCCCTGGGTAGAGGATTAACAACATGACATTTGACCATCTGTTTACACTTTTTAAGTGGATGCTGTTAATGGAGATACAAATTTGTAATGTTTTATTTTGAACTAAAGGATCTCATTTGCCCTCAAACTGGAACCAGAGTATCACTATATATATTTAGGAAAAGGACTACAGAAGTATAATTTTTAAGCATCAAGTCAGATGAAGCTTCCATTGTGTTAAGCAAGTGATGCACAGATCTTTTTGTTTTGTTTGTTTTGGTCTTTTTGATACCGGGTCTCCTTGAAGCCCCAGCTGGCCTGGAGCTCACTATGTAAACCAGGTTGGTCTTGAACTCGCAGAGATCTGCCTGCCTCCCAAGTGCTGGAACTAAAGGCATGTGCCACCACGCCTGGCTGATGCACAGATTTTTGTTCCACAGTAATAAATGGTACCTCTACTTCCTCACTTCTCTTATGCTCCTGACCTCTTTGCCTACAGCCTAGATGCCTCAGGTATTCTTCACTGAAAGCCAACAAAAGAGATTGACAGTGGAGAAGTCTTATTCCATCACGGGGGTGTCTCAGGTGTTTAGAGGGTCCTGCCTCTAGTGAGCGGTCTGAGCACTGACATTTAGGAAAAGCCTTAAAGTGGAAGGGCAAATCTTAGTGCTTGGCCCGACATGGCGTGAAACCAAGGTGAGAAACAGATTCACAGCATCTCTGATGTTGGGTGATTTTTTTCAGATGCTTTTTATGGCTTTCTAGAACTTAGACTGCTTCTTCTCCATCCAGAAAGTCCATAGTAAAAGTCTGTCCCAGTACCTAGGACAAGCCATAGTGTATGGTAGTGCTATGCTATGATTTGCCACCAAAACTCATGCTGAAATTTAATCCTCATGTGAGTTACTAAGACTCTGGGAACGATTGGACACATAAGAGCAGAACTCTGCTTTCAAGAATGGATTAATAGGGGGCTAGAGAGATAGCTCAGCAGCTAAGAGCACAGGCTGCTCTTGCAGTGGATTCAGGTTCAGCTCCCAGCACCCACATGGAGGCTACCACTGTAATTCCAGTTCCAGGGGATCCAACACCCTTTTCTAACCTCCAGGGGCATTGTACAATGTGGATGCACTTACAGTCATGCAGTATACTCATCACATGAAGTAAAAAGATTTTAAAAGAATGAATTACTAAATTAGTGATAATGTATTTGTTATTTAAAAAAACAACTTGGATCTGTCTCTTAAGTGCTCCCCTCTTGCCACATGCTACTGTGGGACTACAGTCTCCAGCAAGCAGGACCTCAATAGATGGGGCCTTTCCAGCCTCCAGAACTGTAAGAAATTAGTGTCATTTCTTTATATATTATTGGGTCTCTGGTGTTCAGCCATAAGAACAGAAAACTGAATCAGGTAGATTCACAAATATTGTTTGAATAAATGAGAACTAGTGCTGTCTGGAGGGGAATAAGTTTGGAACAAGCTTCAATGTTAGTTAAAGGACCCCACTAACAGCACTGCACCTCATCATGTAGGCTGAAATTCTTACAGCCCCCTTGGGATTAATCTTATGCTGCAACCTGTAAGCTTTTAGAGAGGGAAGGAAGACATCCACAGTATGAGAAAGTCTAAGAGTTAGGACAAGCTTACCATTTTGATTGAAGAAGGGAGATGTGTGAAGAAGAGTTGTTGGGGGCCTTCTGTTGCCTCTGCTCAAATCCTTCAGAAGCAGTTCCAGTGTTGTTGAGCTATCGATGTAGTTTTATGGATTTTTGTCTGTGACTTTATCTCCAGACAGCTTACTTGGGTAGGGATGTGCTGAGGAAGACAGGGGTCGCTGGGCAGCAATCACAGTGATGTCTACACACTGGGCAGTTGCTCTGGGACCTGCACTGTGGCCAGCAGCACTTTGCCTACGTTGTCTCTGTGCCAGTCCTGAGGAATACCAAGCCACAATTCCAACTGCAAGTTGGTTTTTCCAGGGTATCTTGAAGGGGTGTGACTGGCATGCTTAGATCTCAGACTTATCTATATATCTAAATGAAATACTGTATTCTCTATGTTTTATATAATATAGATGTTTTCCTGGGGATAAGAAACCAAGATCTGGCTTGTTTTACAGACTCTGTCCCAAATACCAAATGTCCCACAGAATTATCCTATCTATCATCACGGGTGATCAGAGGCCACAGAGAGACAGAAATTCACAAGGCTCTTCTGATCTGCATTTTGCCAGCAATCATGCTTGATGCATTTTTGAGATACTGTAGATTTTATCTTGATAAAGAGACAGCTGGAGATAAAACTTGGGAACTATGTGAAGAATTCAGAGTTCCCTGACTGATTCCCTCTTCTACTTCTCTCTAGGGAGTTCAGTGTCAGTTGGGGCGTGGGATCGCTGTGACTGGCACTGGTCACTACAGCAATTGGGAAGGGCTCTCCACATGGACGTGTTTGCACTGCTGGGCAGTGGACAGTCTGCAAGACTGAAGAAAAGCTGCCATGCAGGCTTCAGACATTCCTCATTTGCTCTTCCTTTTTCCTTTTGGAGCTCTCCGAGACTCAGGAATCATGAATATCTGCTGCAGAATTTCCAGTAGACTGCTCTTGGAGGCAGTAGAGGATGTAATTAACATTATGAAGGAAAGAATTTCTTACACAAGTCCTGTAGAGTACAGTGCAATATAGCTTCATCACCCTACATGAGAACTCTTCATGAAAATGAGACACAAGGGGCTGGAGAGATGGCTCAGTGGTTAAGAACGCTGGCTGTTCTTGAAGAAGACCAGGTTCAAATCCCAGCACCCACATGGCAGCAAACAACTGTCTGTAACTCCAGTTCTATGGGATCTGACAGCCTCTTCTGTCCTCTGTGGGCATTGCACAACATGGGTGCACTTTACCTACATACAGGCAATACATACACGT